GAACTGTAAGGGAAAAAAAGATAGGAACCAACCAAGTAAGCTTTCTTTAAGAGTTTTCCTAAAACATCTCATGGGCCATAACTGTGTCATATGATTATCTCTAAAGACAAAAGAGAGTAGATTGTGTTGTTGTTGTTGTTGTTTCAAGCTAAGCATACATTATTATCTAAACAGAATCAAAATTTAGGAAGAACAGGTAAAAGGATAGTATCCAGGCAAGTGTCAGTCTCCTAAGCACTAAGTCCTAACTTACTTCAGTTGTTAGGTAAAATTAAGGATTGACTTTACATAGAATATCAAAGTCTAAGGTCTTCACACAAGAGTTACACCTTTAGAAAAAGGAACTTATTTTTGCCTAGGATCTACCAAGAGCTTATTTAAAATAATGTAATAGTTACTATTCAAAATCCAGAGAATGGTGCTATTTAAAAATTACATCTGTATATTAGCACACATTTGCCTGTCTTCTTGTATAGAAATTTGAGTTATTGCTTTAACAAATTATAATAGTTGGGATATTTTGCTGGTCTCTCCATAATGTTTATTTAGCACCTGGGCACAACCATGTACAAACCACGCATTTCCACTTGGGTTGTACAGAAGAGCAGTACATTCATCAGTGGTTATAGTGCAAAGGGAGAATGGCTAAGCTGTGATAAGACATGCAAATAAAATTTTATAAGGGTTCAGGAGAGGGAAAAATATTTCTGCAAGAGAGGATTGAGTAAATTATCTGGGATCCTAAACATATGTTTTTATTTTAAGAGTTTGCTTTCATAGCTAGTGAGTATCATTGTAAGACCAGAAAAAGATGTTGGAAAAATGCATAACCAACTACCATTCACAAAGGATTACTTCTAGGTAGGCTTGTATGCCATCCCATCCTTCAGTTAATGAGGGGGAGGTTTGGGAAGGAATGGAAAAATTGTTGGGTATCCATTGTGTGCCTGGTGCTCCAACTTACTTCAAGAAACCTTAATGGAATGCTGGATTAGACTGCACTTCCTTCAGTATCCCACAATCCAGCAGAGCAGTTATAATTGCTTATGAGAAAGCAAAGCTGAAGCTCAAAGAGGTTAATTTACTTGAGCAGATCACCCAGTTTGTGAGTAACCAGACTTCTCTTTGAGCCCAGGCACATTTGACAAAAAAAAAAAAAAATCATGTTCTTTCCATTTTAGCCTGGGTCTCTACCTCTTGTAGCCAAGACTAAATAGTCTCTTCTTCAAATCTAGTCTGTAGCAAATTCTACACCCCACTGGTTGAAACTGGGGCTTCACATAGTTATTTTCACTCTGCTCAGAGCACATTTGTTACCTGCTTAAATGCTATCACAACTCTTTTTAATTTTTTTTTAATTTTTTTTATTTTTTATTCCGGTTGTGGGGCCTGAACTCTGGGCCTGGGCGCTGTCCCTCAGCTCTTCAGCGCAAGGCTAGTGCTTTACCACTTGAGCCACAGTGCCACTTCCGGCTTTTTTCTTTCTGCTTATGTGGTGCTGAGGAATCAAACCCAGGGCCTCAGGCATGCAAGGCAAGCGCTCTACCACTGAGCCACCTTCCCAGCCCCATCACAACTCTTTTTAAAATAATTGATGTTTTTATAATAAGTAACTACAGAGTATAAAATTTAAGATACAAATTTATTAATAGCAAAGTATTAATCCCACTTGTATCTACCTTGACCCCTAAAGAGTTCTTTGCCATGGAAATTACTATTTTTTGGTATATCCTACCAGAATTGCCCTGTGCAAATACATGTGTGTGTGTGTGTGTGTATTAGTGTGTTGCATATGTGTGTGTGTTTGTGTGTATGGTTTCCCTTCTTTTAATTAGAATAGGTGCTTATTATAAACATGGTTCTCAAAACTTGTCCTTTCTCCTCTTTCTTCTTTCTGTCACTTAGATATCCCATAAAGATTTTGATAAAAAAAGAAAAAATTGATGAATTTGGAAATATGGTTTTAGTTAAGTTGTCTCCATGGTACATTTTTTTGAGTAGTTCTTATTGATAGCAATTTCCTCCCAACATTACAGATATTCCTCACTAAAGAGTGTTTTGTGGATGGAATGTAGCTCATTAGTGGAGTACCTGCTTATCATGTGCAAGGCTCTGGGTTCAATCTCTAGCACCACAAACAAAGAGAGGATGGGAAGAAAAAGGAAAGAAAGGAAAGGAAATGGGAGGGGGAAGCATAGTGTTCTTATATCTGATTTCTTCAGCCCTCATTCTGACTTTGGTCTTCTTGCTTTCTTACACGAGGCATCCCCTGGGACAGCACATTCCTGCCTCCCTTCCTCCTGCCTGTTGATCCTCTCCCATAGGTTTTGGGACCTTAGGTAGGGAAACTGAAGTTGAAAAGAAGGGGTTTGTATCAGAACTAGTCCCAGAAGCTTGGCTTATCACTAGGAGCTTTAGTGACTGTACCATAGAAGTTTGCTAAGCAATCTGGACTCCATGGCCTTCCACTAAAAAACCTTCTTATATTCACGTGTTTTTTAAAAAAATTCTTTTTTGGGTCAGACATGAAGAAGAATTAATAAAGTCCTTTCGTTTATCCTTCAGGTAGTTTGCTAAAGTGGGGGAACATTCGGTTTAAAAGTGCTCAGATCCTCATAACTATCAAATCACCTATTTTTTGGTCAAGCATTTTAATCAAAGATCTCCACATGAGATCCCTCCATTCTTCTTATTTCTGCCTCCCCAGACCTCTGGACTCATTTCTTGGAAATGGGACATCCCAAGGCATGAGAAGGGCCAGTGGACATTTTTCTGAATCTTCCTAATTCTTCTTTTAAATCTGAAAAAATTAAAATTGAGCTGAGATCTGGTTGATTATGCCTGTAATCCTAGCTACTCGGGAGGCTTGGATCTGAAGATTGTGGTTCAATCCCCAGGATCAGCACCAAAACAAATTAATAACAATGAAAATATATAAAGGACAAAAATAATATTAGTGACACCTAACTAAAAAGTTAATCTTTTTTTAATATTTTTATTGTAAAGATACTGTACAGAGGGATTACAGTTACATGAGTAAGGCAATGAGTACTTTTCCTATGGAGCATTGTTATCCCTCCTTTGTTTTTCTCCTGTAAAAGGTTAATCTCTTCGGAGCTCTCATCTCATTCTACCAGGCCTAGCATGATGAAAATTCCATTCATCCCATCTTAGCATATCATAACTACCAACAGAAGCCAATTTCAAGAAATGCTTTTACAGAAGTAGAGTGTGGCTTGAATGGTTGAGTGTCTGCGTTGAACAAAAAGGCCAAGCAGGAACTTGAAGCCCTGAGTTCAAGCCTCAGTACAGCATACACATACTCATACACAAATGCTCTTAATTAAAAGTACTATGTATTTCATTGATTATATTATTTTTCTCTTAATGTGGCTTCATGTTTTTATGATACACATTGGCAGAAGTACTGATCATATTGAGGGACTAGTAACAAAATTTGTGACACACACAATCCCTACTGTTAATGAAGTAAATAGGTGTAAGAACTTGTACAGTATCTACTCGAAGAAAGTATACCTCTACCTCCTGCAGATCTATGTACCTCCCTGATCTGTAGTGGAGGTTTTATACATTTATTTGTAGGCCTATCCTCTTGCCAAATTACCTTTGTGTTGATTTTTTATTCATATAATGACTGGTATTCATATAGTAGTTTTACTTTATTTTTTACTCACATATTAATGTAAGCAGTTTTTAAAGTTATTTTCTTTTTTAGCATATATATTATATGTGTGTGTGTGTATATATAATATATGTTTTTAAATTTTTATTTATTTGATCAACTCCTTTGTACCAGTAAAGACAATAAAAAATATACTTAAGCCAGGCACTGGGGGGCTCACACCTGTAATCCCAGCTACTTTAGGAGGCTATCTGAGGATCTCCGTTCAAAGCTAGCTCCAGGCACGACAGTCCATGAGACTCTTATCTCCAATAAACCACTAGAAAACTGGAAGTGGTGCTGTGGCTTAAGTGGTAGAGCACTTGCCTTGAGCTGAAAGCTGAGGGACAGCACCCAAGCATGCTATTTTTCTTTTGACTTTGGTAAATTTATAAAAGAGCATCCAAATTTATAAAAAGGCATACTTGCTAGCCAGGGGATATACCTAATAAAACAGTATAAAGAAGGTACTTTATAAACCTCAAACACTATTCTAATAACAAAGGTAAACTTAACAATTCCTAATTTTTTTTTTTGGTGGGGGGTATTGGTTGTGGGGCTTGAACTCTGGGCCTGGGCACTGTCCCTCAGCTCTTCAGCTCAAGGCAAGCGCTCTACCACTTAAGCTACAGCACCACTTCAGTTTTCTGGTGGTTTATTGGAGATAAGAGTCTCATGGACTGTCGTGCCTGGAGCTAGCTTTGAACGGAGATCCTCAGATCTCAGCCTCCTAAGTAGCTGGGATTACAGGTGTGACCCCCGGTGCCTGGCTTAAGATTGTCTTTACTGGTACAAAGGAGTTGATCAAATATAAATTTTATGTTAGTCTTTCAGTCAGTAGGATGTTACTATGCTAGAATTCTAAAAACAATCCTCAAGGCCCTGTATGGTCTGCTTTTTGTCCTGGTCTCATCTCTGCAGTCTGTTGGCTCATAGTGCCCTAGCCATATGGCTTCTTCCCTTTCTTCCAACTTCAAACTATCTAGAGTTAAGAGTGCTAGGATGGACTTGTCCCAAATTTGACTCTGTTTCTGGTACTTAACACCCAGAAGGAGGAAACATTCATTAAACATTCACTGAATTTAACAAGAAAGGAAGCTAAGACTGTGAAACCAAATGGTTTTTTTATGTCCATGGCCAGTGACTTCTAGGCCAGTGTCCTTTCAACAACTCAGCTTCAAGAGACTCCCTCCTCTGAATCCTAGACCTGCTTTAATAGTTTCTTTTGGTCTTTGCATGGCTTTAGGATTTTAGTTACATACAGAAAATGGGTATGAAGTGAATCTCGGTCAATCTTTTTTTTCTCTTTTGCTTACAGGCGATCTTTGGCAACCAAACCTTCCCTAGCTCCAATTTATGGACAATAAATAATGGTGCAGGCTGCAGAATTTCAAGTGCCACAGCTGGTGGCCAGAAGCCAACCACTCTGCCACAAAAAGTGGTGCCACCTCCAAGTTCCTCCTCCCTGCTCCCTAAACCCCCATCTAATCACAAACAAATGCTCAGAAAGGCAACATCCCAGAGAGCTTCCAAGTAAGTTTTTCTGATCATTATCTGTTCAATTTCTTCAAAATTGTATTAATTCTAAGCTAATGGTAGTTTTTATGAAGTTTTTAAGACCACATGGATTGAAAACCAGAATACTTGATGGGTAATAATGGTTAACTTTGGACTCAACCATGGCTCCAAATTGCTATCACCTGGAAGCAATGGCAGCATTTTAGTGACTGACAATGCTATGGCTGGACAGCTATTGCTCTTTTTTTTCCCCCAGTCCTTGAACTCAGGGCCTGGCCACTGCCCCTGAACTTTTTTCTCGAGGCTAGAACTCTACCACTTGAGCCACAGTGCCACTTCTGCCTTTTTCTGATTTTGTGGTACTGAGGAATCAAACCAGGGCTTCATGAATGCTAGGCAAACACTCTACCACATTCCTAGCCATTGCTCTTTTATGTTCTCCAGGTGACAGAAGAGAGTTGTCCTCTGGCAGGATCTGTAAGCTTAGAGAAAAACATTTACATATTCTTCATGTATCTTCTCTTAGTTACTATACAAAATCAAGTCATTTTAATTTCATAAAGAATTTAACATCAGGTCAGGCGCCAGTGGCTCATGCCTGTAATCCTACCTACTTTGGAGGCTGAGATCTGAAGATCACAGTTCTAAATCAGCCTATGCAGGAAAGTCCATGAGCCTCTTATCTTCAATTAACTACCAGAAAAGCAGAAGTGGCACTGTGGCTTAGAGCGGTATTGCGCTAGTCTTGAGCACAAAAGCTCAGGGACAGCACCCAGGCCCTGAGCTCAAGCAAACCCCAGGACCAACTTGTTGATTCAAGGTTAGGCCTTTGAATGGAAAGACAAGATTAAGGTCATTTACACAATTAAATTATTATTAGTCCACAAGCTGTAGAAACACTATTTCTTGTACCTTTTATAGTCTATGTTTTTTCTACCAAAAAAAAAAAAGAATTCCACAAATCAAATTATTGTCACACACCTTCACTCTACTTCCAGCCCTTGTTTTAGCTAGTGAACTTATAACAGACTGCTAAAGCCATTTGCTTTTAGCAACCTTTCTCCAGGTTAAAACCAGGGACTTTTCAGCAGTATGTGGTGGAGGCAGGCATTTTCTGCTATATAGACCCTAGAGGGTCCTTACATACTTGCTCACATTAAGGCTCCTCATTAATTTATCCTTCCTAAGTTCAATTTTAGTTTTAAGAAAGAATCCTAGGGTCTAGAAAATAGTTTTTTTCTCTTAATGGGTGAATCAAATTCTATATTCAAATAGAAAAGAATCTATTTACGGCTCTTTTAATCCTATTGCTACCATTATTCATTTATCCAGCAAATACTTTATGCCTGCTAAGTACCAAGCACTGTTCAAAGAAGAGCTGGCATTGTAATGCCTGCAGATCTCTTCAGAGCAGTAGTGAGGAATGCTACAGCCTGTGGTTGAATACTGATAACAGATGGATAGAAAGGAAGTTGTATGTCCTCCCAACCTGGAAAGAGGAGTTAAATCTCTAATGGTATAGTCCCTGGAGCCAAACTACTTCCATTCACATCCCCATTCCACAGTCCACTAACCTGATACCTTTGGCAAGTTATGTTAATTTCTTGGCCTCAGTTTCCTCATTTGTAACAATAGGACAGAGTACTTTGTAAGTCAGTGGATAAATATGAACAGAGATAAATGTATATAAAGCCTGGCTCACACTAGAACTCAACCAACAGGCCTTAGTCACCCTCGGATACTTGCTAAAGCCACATTGTCCTCTGCAGAGTGGAGAGGCCCACAGTAACCAGAGAATCAGTGAGTTGAAAGTAACTGTTAAACCTGCCAGTATGCTCCTTGTTTGTGGACTCCCAAGTTATTGCCGTTACCCTGAGATAGCTGGTGGACTGGTGGGGAGATGATGATGGCCCTTCGTGGCCTGTGTAGCTGGCTGGTGGACTTGTTGGGGAGGCGAGCTTGGGCAGCAACTGCTCTCTCTCCTGGCAGAAGATGTGGTAGCCTCCTAGGTGGAGTTGCAGCCCTTTGTACAAATTTTGCTTTGCTGCATTTTTGTGGTTTCTTCTCTGTGACAAGCAGGAGTGTGGGAAAACCGGAAACAGCTCAACATAAAAAATTCACAGAAGGGAGGAAAAAAGCAAAGATTTCTTCAGACTTTAAGAAATATAATCCAAGTATCAAAAGGCATGCTGTGAGGCACTGTTCCAGGAAATAGTTTCCAATTTGCCTTTAAAACTCTAGCACAAGCCTGTGGAGCTAAGTTAGCACTAATGGGGACCTTAATATTCTCCTGCATGGAAAATGTCCGGGGTTGTGAAGGCCCCACAGATATTTTCAAGTATTCTAGCTTTCAGAAAAAGGAATAGAATAGATTTCCATCTGAATGGACTCAAGGAAAACCTCCCTCTAGTAAATATTCAGATACACTTTTAAATAAGCTTAATATTAATTTTAGGTTTACAGAAAAGTAGTAAGTCTAGTACAGAGAGTTTCTATGTATCCCTCACCCAGGTTTCCCATTGTTAACATCTTCCCCTGCCATGGGAAATAACCTTTAGTATGTTATTGCTATTGTGATCTGTACTTTTACTTTACTTGGATCATTGAAGTGACTGAATCCAGATTTTTTTATGACCCCTGGAAGATCCTGAGTACCAGAATCCCCCAGGTATTTTTATTCTTCTAAAGAGATAGTTGTTCTTATCTAACAGAACAGCTTAACTAACATATCTGTGATTCCATTTCATATTTTAAAATTAAAATATAAATAGCACCTGCCTCTTGGTGGGAAAAACAATTGAGTTAATGAATGTCAAGCACAGTTACCAGCACCAATACTTAATAGATGCTAAATAAGTATTAGATGTAGTTATGAATAATACCAAGATTGTGTTTCAAAAGTTTTTCAAATTTTTTTTTAATTTCTGCCTCCCAAATGTATTGTTTCATTTGCTTGGATCTTATTGTAGCCTTTATTCTAGCCTGGTTCAGATTAATCAGGAGCCCTCAGTAATGACTGGTGGGACTGAGTCACACTCAGGAATGCCATAGTGGCCCCAGGAGACACAGCTAATGAGAAGTTGTAGTGAGGATTTGACCATGCCAAGCCCTGTGTCTTTGGGTTGAACTTCAAACTTCTTCTAGCACAGAAGTTGGCATTAGATAGATAGAGAAGCAATTTCCAAGAGCACCAATGTTTCCACATCCTAGAGGGTTGTGTTCGGAGAACAATAGAACATAAAAGATGGAATGTGTGGATTTGGTGCACAGGGAATTGAGAATCACAACAGCGGGGTCCTATTTCTTTATGATAATTTTCAAGTCGCCTTCTGAATGTAGGTTTCATTTTCCCATCTGTAAAACTGAAACCACTGTCCCTACTGAATAATTAACCAAAATAGCTTGTCAATTCCGTTGAAAGCTTTTTTATGAGCACATTTGTCTTTTAATCCTGGTGCTTTGCAGCCATTTTTCTGATCCTCTCTTGGCCCAGCAATTCTTATTAGGTTCTCAAACTATTAGGTTCTCAAACTCATATTTCCTTTCCATATACCCTGTTTGCCAGTTCCATGAAGAGAATAATTTAGAATTTTCTTTCCTCACTTCTCTCTTGCTTGCTTTGACTATTTCCATAGTTCCCGTAGCCCTTCTCGACCTCCTCAGACCTTCCTTTCTAAACTATTTCTGAGAGTCCAAGAAGTAGGCTAAATTAAGAGGATTGACAGCTTACGTGTTGCCTTAGGAACTTGCATCCCAACTATCTTCTTTCTATGTTACCTTTAACTATATTGATACTCCCCAGGAAATACGGAGAAAGAATCCCATCTGAGGAGACTGAAGTTTACTCAGAAAACTCATAGATTGCAGATTAATTTTAAAGGGACCAAAGCTGTTACAACTTGGGAGATTTCTCTGACTAAAGGAAACAGACAGGCCAGGCTTGTTGGCTCAGAGGTAGAGCATACACTTAGCATGTGTGAGACACTGTGTCTGGTCCCAACAAAAGGTAGAATAGGAGAGGGGAGGATGAAGAGGGCTAAGGAAACAGAAAAGGAGGGTCAGACTAACTTCATTCCCTTTCTCTACAGAGCTCATTGCCTTTCCCTCAACATCAGAGTGAGCTCAGTGGAAACTGAAGATGACTACTGTTCTGTGTCAGCACCCAGGACAGTGGAATCTATTAAGGACTATGGAGGATTAAGAGGAAGGCGAGCAGTGAGAGCCAAGTAGTCCAGTAAAACCAAATACCATTAATGTGCCCCAAACATGGGTGAGGTCAGCAGTATGATAAAGACAGTGCTCAGAGATTAATGTCAGAAGAATATAAAAACAAACATCATAAAAACATACATAATTTACCTTATATATCTTCTTTTTAATTATGTGAGCCATTACAGTGAGGAGATTCTAGGACAAACTATTCAGGAGTTATTATATTAGTATGAGCGTAGAAGCTGTCAAATTAGAGATTAACTATTATCAGTCCTCCTGTTAGCCTCTTATTACATGTAGTCTAAAGAAACATGATTGAATCTGTGACGTGTTCATCCTTAAATTTAGGTTTCTCTGGCTCTTCTGCATTTCCAGCATAAGTAATTATACACTTGATCTTAGCCAAAAGGCCAAGAAGCGATAGCATAAGCAATTATAAAGTTTTCATGTTGGGAAATAAAGGAATGGAGGCATGGTGTGGGATTACGAGTGTGGCAAGGCTACAAAGGCAGTCAGTGGCCAAGCCAGAATTGGCCTTCATACCACTAGAGACCACTTGTGCCATTGTCTTTACCAGTCCATCGGTACAGCAAATGCAGAGTCATCCTAAATGTTGCTTTGATGAAAGTACAAACTTATTCCTCTTTCTTTCCACACCAATTTTACCACTTGAATGACCAATGAAGTACTCAAAAGAAGGAAGATTTAGCGCCACTCTTAAGGTGGGAGGTGTTGGGGGATTCCTGGTAGGTTCTGCATGGAAGGGCTGGGTTGATGACCAGTCTGAAAGGCTTTTATGTGATAGCTTATTTCCATGAGAATGCAGTCTGAGATATGACTAGATACCCAGACAAACACTTTCTCACTACAAAAGGAAGAGGATAGGCATAAGAAAAGGTGAGCAGTCAGATCTGCCACTTAGAGTAGGAGAGTTGGTAGTTCATGCCTCTATAATCCTAGCTACTCAGGATCTGGAGATTAAGGGGGTCAAAGTTCAAGAACAAACCTGGCACAATGTTAGCCAGACTCTATCTCAACCAACAAGCCTCGGTGTGGTGGTTCATCTCTGTAATCTTAGCAACCTAGAAGGTAAAGGTTAGAGGATCACAGTCAAAGGTTGACCACAGGCAAGAAGCATGAGATTATATCTGAAAAATAACTAAAGCAGAAAAAAAAAAAAACAATTTAAAGACTGAGGGTGTGTTGAGTGATGGAACACTTACCTAGCAAGTGCAAAGCCCAGAGTTCAGTGGTACCAACAAAAGGTTTGTCACTTAGATTCTGCCCTGGTCATTTGGTGGCATTAAGAGGATTTAGGTTTAGTTTGGCAGGGATGTTGACATGAGTAATAGGTGCTAGCAATCACTCCTAAGCAGAAATCACCCTGCCTATATATGAGACAGTGGTGGGGCACGTGAGAGTGTGGGATGATGGATCTCCATTTACTGAATCATGTTTGGGTTACTGAGTTGAACATCTTTTTTCACATCTCTACCTGCTGATATGTTGAAATGATAATATAATTGCTGGATATTTCCCATCTCCTTACTTTTTTGTACTGTATTTGTACAGTATATATACCCTTCATGTAAACTCCCATAAGGATAAGCAGATATTGAAAGTAGATTAAAAGAAAGCATTGTGGAAAAGTTTCAACAAGAAAGAAAATAACACTTTATTAGAAAACAATGATTTTTCTTAGCAGAACTTAAAAGCAGAGTGCATCATGTGAAGAGTTAGCAAAAGCTCTCAGATAGAGCCAGGCCATGTGGTGCACGCCTGCTGTCCCAGCACTTAGGAGGTTGAGGCTGGAGGAGTGCAAATTTGAGGGCAGCCTGGATTACAGAATAAGTTGAGGCCTACCTTAGCCATAATGCAAGATCCTGCCTTTAAAAAAAATAGCAAGCTAAAAATGGAATGAAGTAGAAAACCCAAGCAGTGTGCAGAGAGGAAGGATTGTGGGGATGAAAACGACCTAGAAGAAAGTTGGTGAGCAGAGCAGATAGAGACCAGGCATGGAAGAGTACTTCATGCATGCAGTAAAGGCAAGCACCAAAGTCTTGAGGGTAAAGTGTGTATGCAGAGAGAAGTGGTGGGCAGGCAGACAGGTCCAACCCACAATAACGGCCACTGTGGCAGGCAATACTAGACAGCCCTCAAGAATATGATAGGACTTTGAACACAACAAAAAAAAATATTAGATTGATAGCAAAACCACTTTTTTTTGGTTGGTTGGTTGTGGGACCTGAACTCTGGGTCCTTTCACCCTTACCCCATTGAGAACTACTGCTCTACATGAAACTTGGTTTTTTTTTGAAGGTGTCAACACCAGGAATTACATGTGTCTGTCCACCAAAAAATTGCTTATTGAGTACTTGTTCTGTGGGTAGAGACAAAGCAGTGACCAAAGCCTATGCTTTCTTGAGGCTATATTCCATGGAGGAGGAAAGTCAAATCCAAAGTATGTAGTAGTTCAGCTTATTGGTTGGTCACAGAAATCATCTAGTAAGTTACATTTGAACAAAATCTTGATAAGAGCAAGGGAATGCATTTGGAGAGAAGGAACCCCAAAATAAGAGGCAGAGCCTTGGAGGTCTGTCCTTGAGCTCACCTTTGATCTCCTTGTCTTTCCATCTGCAGATCTGACCAAGCTCCTTTGTTTTTCAGAGGGTCCTCAACAGAAGGGCAGCTGAATGGACTCCAAAGCAGCCTTAATCCTGCAGCCTTCATGCCCACCACCAGCTCCACAGGTTAGTGGCTAACAGCTCTTTTCCACCTGGAACAGCTGGGAAGGTGACCCTTAGCCCCTTCCCTCCTCCCTGTGGTAAGAGCTCTGGTTCAAAGAACAAACAGCCACACTCTTCAAGCATTGGCACCTGGGCATTTACATCTTCCTTTAAAATAATGTGATAGCCTGGGGGAGGCATTCTCTGGAACTAACTTGTGATAAGTGAAACCTTTCTGTCTAGTGAGCTGCTATCAGAACTTCAGCATTTAGTGCAAGTGCCTTGTACTTCACTGGTATTTGGTATTCCACTGTTTCTGCAGAATTTCTGTATGTTGGGTCCCTCTCATAATTCCCACAACAACCCCATGAGGTGGGTATCTCTTCCCATCACAGGAAGAAAGAGGCTCAGACATTTGAGAAGCTGTGGATACAGAGCTGGAGTCTGATCGAAGTTTGTCCTGCTAATGCTGTGGTCTTTTGAGCAGCCCAAAGCTCTCGATGTAGAGGCACACATCTCAGTGAGGCTGCAGGGTTCGAGAGCCCATAATTTTCTGTCCACAGTAACTCATAAAAATACTGTAATTGTAAATGGAAGAAGATTGCTTTGATTCGTATCAACAAATATTGGTTATTGAGTACCTATGTGGAGAAGGTAACCTGTGGAATGAACAGGATAACCTTAGCTCAGGGAGCTTATGAACTCAAGGAGATAGGTATGGGAGCATAAATGGGAAGTGGGTACCGATGAACAGGGGTCATTTGTGTACTAAGGATAGATACATGGAATGACAATAGACCACACTGGACAATTGCCTTATGTGAGGTTCAGTGTTGAAGGCTTTCCAGGTAATAACTCATGGATTACTATGCAGACATGTACTATAGGAACTGTGTTCCTCATTTTATGGCTGAAGAAATAAAAGCACACATTATGAAATGTGTCTGAAAGACTCATAGCTAGTAAATGGTCAGGTGGTATTTATACTCCAGTGGAACTGGGGTCTTTTAGGATTGGGGAGGATTTCATAGAGGAAGAGACATCCAAGCCAAGACTTGAGTGTGGGCAAGTCAATCAGGAGGGGGAAGGTATAAGATGAAAGGAGTCCCAGGAAGAAGGTATGAGGAGTGCAAAAGCCAGAGACATGCATATGAGCTGTGTTCGGCAGGCTCCCACCTGTCAGAGTATCTGGGACTAGGGAGGGCATGAGCAGGCAGTGGCAAGAGAAAGATTGTGCAGCAGCAGGATCAGTTTATGAGCCATGTAAGGAACTTGCCTGTTATCTTAGCAGTAAGGAGCCATTGAGAAGTCCATGTGGAGAATGTGGTGAAGAGCTGACCTGATACACTTGAAAATGCTTACGTTTCTGAGAAGTAAGTTTGCTTGACAGCATCACTGGAATAAGTGCATTATTTCATTGGCTTATTGTGAGGATTAAATGAAGGGATAGAATAGAAGGGATCTGTGCCTACCTGAAGGTCAGGTAACAATAGTTCTGATACGAGGTTTGTTCTCCTTTACAATTTTAGAGCTGAATTCAACAAATAACATGTATATATTCATGTCCCTTCCTCTAAAAAAAAGTTACAAGAATGTGGCAGTATTTTTGTTGTTGCTGTTGCTACTGTGGTGGCAGTGCTGGGGATTGAACTCAGGAACTCGTGAATGGTAGGCAAGTGTTCAGCCTCTGAGCCACATACCCAGCTCTCAGAACACGGGAGTCACTTTTAAGGAAGTAAAATTTCTACCTGGCACTGTGATAAAAAAGAAGTATGGATCTGGATGTCTGTGAGATTCTGGATGAAGGTGTTCTACCTGATAGGCCCCTTCACCTCCCTGGATTGCTTCAGCAGAGTTTACAAAGCCCAGAAGCTCCAGGAAACCCAGGCTACTTCATATGCATATCATTGGCCTGATCAGTACTGAAGTGAGCTGAAGAAGTTAGCATTGTGACACTGGGTCATACTTTGCAGCTATCTGACCATCAATTCATGTTTGCTGGCCCTTAGTGGCATTATGTGGAAGATTTTTGCCATGGTCATACTGTATGTGGTATCAGCATAGAGCTATAGAACAAAGAGAAGTTATACTTCTTATGTCCCCTCATATTCCACCTTAAGGTAAACATCCTTGTTCAGGTAGCCTGTTACTTACTGCTTTGTACCAGTGACTCTTAGTGTCAAAATACTCTTGAATATTTTCTCCTCTGTGACTTCCCTGGAGTTTCTTAGTTAAACACTGATGAGCATATTTTGTGGGTCAGGCATTTCCTATACTTTTCAATAATTTTTTTTACGTTTATAGCATTTGCAGTTGATCCCATCAAACTAGTAAGTGGATAACTAGTAAGTGTCTCTCAGCACTCTGGTGTTTTAACCTCATATTCTGTGTTTCCTGCAGTACAACTGGTTTTAAGTTATCCTGAAGGACCAGAAAGATATCCTATGGAAAAGAAGTTAGCTTACCAGAAGTAACATTTTTCTTTAACCCCAAAGAAGGCAAAACTCTCCATTGAGGTCTCAGGAAGTTTGTTCCTGTGTAGGAATCCCTAAACTGCCTTAGAAAAATACTTAGCCCCTGTTTCCAGTAAACTCATTTGGTTAAACATGATCTTAATGAGTCCATTAATACAGTGTCTGTTTCCTGGCCCCTTAACCTGTCTGCATTTGGCTAACCTGGTTTTAAGATGTGTGATTTCATTTCTCAAGCAGTCTGATTAAGGTAGTAATTTATCACAGGGCACTATTGAAAGACAGTACAGTCCTTCCCCCCTAAGGTGGGCTAAGTATATTCTTTTTATTATGAGAATCGGATGAGATAGTGCCTGGAATGCTCCCATGACTGCTACCCTCCTTGAATTTCCTACCTCAAACTGTATAGCCTAAGTTGTCTATGGAAGAAAAGGGATAGAGTCAGCAGATTGGGAAACTTGAGAAGGAAGCTGGAGTGAGGCTGTTGGCCCAAGGCCAAAGTCATTGCCTTTCTTTCTCTATAAACATGGCGTTCTTCTTGAGTTCCAAAGTGCTAATGGTGAGCTAAAATAGCAGAGAACAGCAGACTAGATAACTGACATATCTTTCATGCTGATTTAATCATGTCAGCTACCATTAATGTAGAGATCTAAAGCCACACCAGCTGCCCTCAGCACTGCCTGCCCCGTAGCTCCTATAGTAGCACTGTGTCCTATGATGTGGCCTCTTCCTGCACTCTACTCCCTTTTTTTTAAGATCTTATTGGTCTATAGTTTGTGGAAGAGATCTTACCACATCTTGAAAATCAGTGATGGATTTCATTTACAGGAAGTAAGAGGCAAGTGTCTGTTTAATGTTTATCATTAAACATTATGGTGAAGTGTGCTACAGCTTTGTGCTCTTTGCATGAGGAAAGTCCAGCAGCACTCCAGTGACTGTGCCTGCCCACTCCACTCTGTCACTGTGATAAGAGCAAGTATCTTACCTTTATGTAAAGTAAACCCAGTGGGGCTTTATACTCTCAGGACCTGGAGTCACTTTAATTTTTCAAGTGAAATTATTTGCCTAGTAGTTCTCAGTAGAATTTTTACTATTCTTTCCTTTATACATTATATAGTTGGTGGGAGTCCTGGTGAATGTCAGTAAAGAAGTTAAAAATAAGTAAAGCTCTTGACACGATTGCCCTAGTGTCCTATGACCTTTCTCTTTTCATGGTAGAATAAAGTCCTATGCTTTATTGCTCCCAAACACTCCTAGGGCCAAGGGGTAAGAATCTGCATTGGTTACCCACTCTCATACTGTTAGAAAAAGAAAAGAGATCATTAATGGACCTGGTGTTTGGCAGGAAGTAGGGCGGCAGCATCTTGAAGAATGACAATCTCAAAAAAAAAAAAAATGACAATCTCCTTAACCTAGTTTTGGATTTTACTTCCTGTCCCTTGGGCCAAGATCAAATATAGTGTTAAGTAGGGATTCTTTTTCCATTTTTTCAGGACCTTTGGAAGCTCCCAAAGTCATTTTCGCCAGATCCAAACGCTTACCCCCACGATCTGGAACCCTTGCTGCAATTATAGGACAGAGAAAAGCAAAGTAGGTGAAGGCAAGGCCAATTTAAGGTAATAGTAAGAATAAGAACATAAATATATACACACACATATATATATTTAATTTTTTTAATCATTACACTTTCTGACTTTATGCCATAGCAAGACAGTAGTTAGGGAGAGTGACGAGGATGGATATAGTTCAATGCTTGGCATTTGTGAGGCCCTGGATTAGATCCACTTCACACAATACCACACACACACACACACAAACACACACGGCAGTGAAGTTGGAGCTCAATACCACACACACACACACACACACATACACACACACACACACACACACGGCAGTGAAGTTGGAGCTTCATAAAACAAAAATTCAGAAAAATGCTCCAAAACCTGGGTCAAAGTTGAGCTGCGACTAGATTGCTCCCATAATGGTCTACCAGTAGGTGGAGCTGTGGCAGTAAGGAATTTTTTTGCTATGAAAGGCTTTTGTTTAAAAATGGTGGGCTCTTTGAAGCAAATCAAAGAAACTATAGCAATAATTAAGTTTTCATAGGTAAATTATAACAATATATGAGAACATGTTATATTTTGAAGATCATATTGTAATTACCAAAAAAAAATCTCTTGGTCGAGGGCTAGGTAGTTTGTGAACTGGATTTACAGGTAATGGGAAGTGGAGAGGTAACAACAATATATTGTTTTTTAATTGAATTAATTAATACCACTTTTGCTGAGTTGTATAAAATAAGCCACAAAACAAGTAATAAACCCTTCCTACACCCATTAAAAAAAAATCTCATACATTGAAGGAACTGTCCAAACTTAATCTTATGAAGCTGTATCTATACATACTAAATGCTGCTCTGAGTACTGTATTCCCAACTGTGGCCTTCACAACTTTCCAGAAAAGTCTGTGAAACCTTGGGACTGTGATGTTTCCTTAATGGCCCACCTGCTATGAGTTTAATATTCTACTTATCTCTCAGGGAATACTTATAAACTACTTGAGAAGCATTATTCATTAAAATGCCCCCCAGAAGAGCAAAGGAGAAAGGAAAATTATTCACCCACCACAGGATCCATTTACATTGGATCAGAAAACTTCAAATATCTTTCTCCTGCCCATCTAAAATCTTCTTAAAATGAAATGAGAAGAGACAGGAGTATCAAATCCCTGGCTTGGTCATCTACCAAAATGTACCCCCAAAATCTGAAAATAACCAGGGTTCTATGGTAACGTTTAGCCAGTGGCCCCTTCATGTTGATACTAAGCATCTTGTCCAGAAAAGAACTCATAAAATACAGAAAACTAACGTGAGAAGGTCAGAGTGAATGTGACATCAAGCTCCAAACCAAACTGAGGGCCTGCCAAGAAGTACTTGTGTCCATGCATTTCTAGGACTGTGAGCTTTGGGCTGGCCACTGCTATGGTATCACTTTCCTTAGTATCCTTTACAGCCCACTCTGAACATTGCGTGGCGGTATAGACCATCACAAAGAAGCCTACTTCTTAACTTGCTAGTCTATTGCAAACATAGCCCCCTGAGCCTGAGCTGTCCATAGACAGGGATGGCTGAGACTGTGAGACATGCTAAATATACATGTGCACAGAATATAGAGCAGGCCCAAATCTCAGAAAGCAACTACCCAGAACCAGGCCCAGCAGCCTGGCATCAGCAGATAAAACTGGGCTGCCTCTTCTTGAGCTGGGAAATAATGTAGGTTACAGTTAAGAGACAAAACCCCACAGGTCACAGCTCCTTACTGAGGCATTTTTTTAGTAGCAAATGAGTTTAGAGGGTCAAGATCCCTTCAGCTACAATCATAAGTGAGCATCATCACAAGTTCTGACAGTCCTGGAACCTTTTCAAAGATGGTTTTAGTGAGGCAGTGAGGTTCACTGACAGGCTTACAGTGTGTTCATGTACCTTGTTACATAATATTGAGAAGATACTAGCTGTCTGTATCAAAAGACATTGAAAAGGTTCTGTTAGTCCCCTCTATGCTGCCCCAGCTTAAAGATAGACATTTCTGTTTGCTTAGATTCTATATTTTTTTTTTACTATATTTGCTTGCTTTCTGATTTCTTGATCTGGCATTTGGGGAGCTTATAGTCCTAGAAAGAGGCTGTCCCACCCAGGGATAGTTCATTCCTGAAGATACTAACAACTTGTTCATAAGCATACCTTTTTTACACAGACCAGCCAGCTCCAAGATTATGCTCCCAGCCACCCTCTTTATCTAACACTCCTACACCAAACTAAAGCCTCCCCTGCCCTGATCATTCCAAGGCCAGATTCCATTCAACTAGAGTACTCCAAGAGTCCCAGAGCTCATGGGAATTTTTCAGACCAGCCAGTCCCAACCTGTTTATTTGCCATGCCTTCTTTTTATCCACAAAACCCCAGTGAAGACTGTATCTTCCTAGACTCCCCTCTTCCACCTCCTGATGGACACCAGTAATTTCCCTCTGACTTGCCCTCCCCACCCACTTTGAGAGCTCTGAGTATAATGAGTTTCTTCCTTCTAAGCCTTCTCTTCTGTGGCCACACTGCCTTTACCATGCCATATCCACTATGACATCCTTTAAACAAACATCATCAGGAAGGTATCTTTAATTTGCAGCACCAGAGACCAACAAAAGTATTAATCAGGTTATTACCACCCAGTTCTAAGCAACTGTCTCAGCACTTGGTCATAGGCTTTATTACACACATGGTGTGTTCAGCTTTGCTGCCAGTTCAATCTGACTACAGCCACACAAGGATGTAGATCCCTCCACATGGCAAACTCACCTGGCTCCCAGCCAGTGGAATTTCATGCTCTCCTATCCTGAGGCCTCTTTCATTTCATTTAGTAACTGTTTATACATTCAGAAACAAAACTCAAGTGTATCTGAACAGCCTGGTTGGAAGAGAGAGGAAGGGAAGAACCGTAGCTATGCGTTAGGGTGAGATAGGAGAGCACCCACCCAAATGGGGACTCCTTTGCCTTAAAGAAGAGTAAAGAACTCAATTTCTGAAGTGAATTAAGAAACAGACTACTGAGAAAGATAGCATCTGAAAATTGATATTGTCTCTTGCTGAGCTGGCAAGATCCCAAGAGAAGAATTGTTAACAATTGCTACTTTGTTATAAAGAAACAAGGGAAATACAGGAGCCCCTTTCTCAGATTACACTGTGTCTGGAAAAAAAATGCCTGGCACCCTAGCTTTGTTAGACTTGTACCTACCACGGCATCTTGTAGCAGAGTTGTGTGGTCCCAGGTAAGGCCCATTCACCTTGGGTGGAAGAAGATCCAGTCCATTCTTGTAGCTCAGAACTGGGCAAGTAACCAGCATAACATTGCAAGTTTTTGTACATATCACCCCTGGGTATGGAGCTATCCTCTGTGGTTATGCGTGTGGGTATGAACCCACACACCTTGCTCCTAGTTTCAATGGCATGCTTGTTATAGCCACGTACTTTACCGTCCTTGTATCCTCAGGATATAATTGTTCCTGATGTTCTAAAGAAAGAAAATGGCATGCTAAGCCATGCTTGTCTTCGGAAAAAGAAAGCTTTACAGATGGAAATATTTACAGCTCTGCTTACCTGATTGTAGAGTTTGAACTGGGCTCCAAGGAGCGTAGGTGTTTAACTGCAGGGTGTGGACAGTGATAACTTAAAGTGCATTGCCTTGTTGACATGATTGGCATTGATATTTATCCTTTATTCCTTCAAATTACATTATAAAGAAAAGCCTCTATTCCCTTCAGTCCTCAGAGTGAAGGACATCACAGGTCCAACTTGAAACAATAGTCTCTTATACTCTGTTCTCATTTTGCAAAGGTGCAGGTATTTCCAATTAGCACCAAGGTTGTCAAAGGCCTCTCTGCTCTTGAAACCTCAATCCAGGTAATCGGTCTCTCATAGCAAAGAGGAACAGCTTGAATATCCCTTTAGTTACATCAGTGAAATATAACACGCATGCCTAGTAACTCGGGTTCCTAGTAACTTGTTTCCACAGCAGAAAATGGGTGGTACAAGTCAGAAACTAACCTGGTTATAGGATGGTGAGCTGGTGAGTTGAAGAAAAAAAGTCAGTCGGTTGGAAGTTGCTGCAATCTTGTTATTTATTTGTTTCTTGTTAAGTCTTTCATCCTTCCACAGACTTCTAATTTGCTTCTTGTGGAAATCAAGACATATGACAAGCCAATAGGAAGATACTTTGATATTTGACAAGATTTTTTTAATGTATTATTGCTGAGCTGCAAATTTTGAGATAATGAACTATCCACAGTTATCAGATATCAGAATGTGCAATTTGTGTAACTGCTACCCACATGCATACATGTGTATATGTGTGCGTGTGTGCGTGTGTGTGTGTGTGTACCTCAGTGCCTGAGTGCTGTCCCTGAGCTTTATTTATTTTTTTCCATTCAAGGCTAGCACTCTATACTTGAGCTGCTGCTCCACTTTTGGCTTTTTGATGGTTAATTGGAGATAAGAGTCCCACAGACTTTCCTGCCCAGGCTGGCTTTGAACCATGATCCTTAAATCTCAGCCTCCTGAGTAGCTAGGATTCTGGCATGAGCCACTGGTGCCTGGCTTAGAATATGCAATATTTAAACTGCCATTCCTGTTTAGAAATGTAAGTCCCCTCAGGCCTTTGTTGTATATATATTTGCCCTGCTCACTGTCCTCCTCCGGAATAAATCACTACTGTGTGAGAGCAGCCTCATCTCTTTGTGGAGGAGTTGTCTACAGTAGCCTTTGATCAGCAAGAAGAGAGACACCTTCAATTACCTTTGTTAAGGAAGTCATTGTATATAAACATGGGGATGAAACAGCCCCAGAAACCAGACCTCACGGCAACCAGCCACCTTATTTGGGATAATTGTAGCTCTGCTGACTGAGCAACAGCTCTATCAGCCCAGCCCTCTGACCAGGTCATCTCTGTCCAGATTTTCACTGCCCAACTCCATGGCTACTTTCACTACCTTGTTTGCATTCAGTCTTCAGAAGATACAATCAGAATACTTCATTCATTCAT